GCGTCAAACGAATGACACATGTATACTCACGCCCCGTTAACGCCGGAGGGGGCAGTGTTTAACGCCACCGGGGCGTTAAACGCCCCTTAACGCTGGTGGGCGTGAGGAGTATACCCAGTGCCCTAATGATTAGAAAAGATTTTTAAACATTATGTGGAAATTAATTGATTATCTTTACCATCTCACGAAAAAAAGCGATTACTTTTTGGGATGAGACATTAAAGACTTGGATTTAACATACACATGTTTTCCTTTTTTTGGGACATAAAAGACTTTGAATTTTTATTTGACTTCACTAAATGTCTTTTATTTTTTTCAATTTATTATAAATACCAAATAATTAAAATGCTTTTACTTTACAAATTTTCCTTTTTGGTTCCTTTTTAACTTATTTTAATTTTATTTTATGTTAATATTTTCCATTCTTTACGTAATTTACTCTTTTTTTAGTATATCATCTCATGTAAATCATTTCATTATTAAATATTTAAAACTAATTTTAAAGCCATGTCGTAATTTGCTTTCTTTAAAACAATTATTAAAACCATTATTCGTTTTATTATGTTGAAATTAATTCCCAATTTTTACCATTATTTAAGGAAAAACGTTAAAGACGTTAGAATTAAATGAGACCTTTGTGATTATTACTACATACACACGCTTTTCTTTGTTTTTTGGAACTAAACATTACGGATTTAAAAATTAATTGAGCATTTATTAGAATCTTAATTACTCCGTATTACCTTTCTTAGACTCTATTCCGTTCAATTTATTTTTTCTGATCTGATATGTTTTATGTAGTTCTGGTCTGATTAGATCTAATATGATCTGATTAAATCTAATCTAATCTGATCTGATCTGATTATATCTGATCTGATCTGGTCTGATATGATTTTAATAAGAATAATAAAAAAGCAGGGAAAAAAACTTGAACGGAATAGGACCTTATTCTCTCTACTTATGTAATATATACACACAATTTCCTTTTTTGTCCGTGTTTCAATCGGTCAAAGGAGAACGGAATGCCAAAATTAATAAACTAATTATGGCCTTGTTTGGATGTTGTCTGTTAGCTGTTCGCTGTTTGTATCGGCTGTTCTAAATAGCTGGTTACTTTAGTTGGTTCGACCATCATGATGAGTTGGTTGATTGTTAAAAATGTTTGGTAAAATTAGTTGTTTGAAAATAGTTGTTTGTCACACACACACATAGACACACACACGATATTTGTTTTTTATTTTTGTACATGTAAAAATTAAATCGTTAATATGTGGAGTATAAAATTTCATTTTCATATAATTCATAACAAATTATTAATATATAACTTTTTAATGATTTTAACTTTTGATTTTCTCATATCTTTTATCTTTTTTTTTAAGTTTTAAAAATTTGAACTTATTTTTTTAATTTTTGAATTTTTTTAACTTTTATTTTTATTTTTTTACATATATTATAAAATATCTTTTATGAAAAACGTTTAAAAAAATAATTTTTCTAAAAGCCAAGTTCAAATGCTACTCTTCTTGGCTCATTGTTTTTTATTGGATGGCAAGATGTTTCTTTTTTTGAATGAAATCCACCCTCTCCCCCAGGGCCGGCCCAATAGGGGGACAAAGTGTCCGTCCGGGCTGGGTCCAATAATTTAAGATTGACGAATTGATATGAATTTATGATATATTTATTCATTTTCTTGCTTTTTTAGTTTTTCATACTTGATTTTACTAAGTAGTAGAATTTATGAATTTGGATTTAATTTCAGAAATAATTGAATAGCTATGGCTCCTAAACAATTATCCGGTAATCAAAAAAGAAAAAAGAGAATGAGATGAAGAAATGAGAAAGATGAAGCCGGAGCTCTATATAAGTTTATGAAATCTGTTGTTGAAGACGAAGAAGTAGAAGTAAAAGAAATGGAAGAGCAATAGCATCTACAAATATGTTAATTTGTTAGATCATTAGGGATAATATTTCTAGAGCTTTTTTTTGTTTCGGCCCGGACATGTGAAATCTTAAGACCGGCGCTGCAGTCTCCCCCTTCTTATAATTGCGATTAGGACAAAGGCCTTGTTTGGGAATTAGCAGTTAGATTTGGCTGCTGGCTGTTTGTGTTGGCTGTTTTGAATGGCTGATTGAGTTAGCTCTTTTGACCGGCTGATTATATTAGCTGTTAAAAATAAATTGTTTGGTAAATTTAGATGTTTATAAATAGCTGTTTGAAATGAAAATTACATTTTTAGACATGCTTTCATATATGTTCATTAATGTATTATTTTGATTAATTTAACTTTTAAAATTTGAATATGTATCTAAATTATTTCTATACATATTTGAATTGATGATTTTATTTTCAAAATAAAATCATGTCATCTTTTAATGTATATACGAAGATGAGCTTAAAATTTAATTTTTAAATTTATTAAAATAATTTACATGTATTTTGAAACAAATTAAATTAAAAATAACATTAGTGTAAGTATTATACTTTGAAAAAGGACTTGGTAAGAAGAACTGGGAAGAGAAAACAAATAAAAAACAAACGAGTAAAGTGCATTGTTTACCCCGTACTATTTAGAAATTGCATGTTTTACCCTTGAACTATAAAAATTGTACCGTTTACCCTCGAACTCCTCGAAAATTGCACGATTTACCCCTGCATACTAAAAAATGCACCAAATACCCTTGAACAAATTAAATCGTTGCATCGTTGGTCCTAAACTATTAGATAGGGAGTGTTTTGCTTCCACGCATAAGAATTGCGAATATGATTCATCTGACCCTTGTGAATTTTCCAAAGTACCTTTCCCCAAAATTGTCATCTTTATTTAAATGTTCAGGAGTAAACAGTACAATTTTCAAAAAGTTTAGGGATATTTGGTGCAATTTTTATTGTTCAGGGGTAAAGTGTGCAATTTCTGAAGAATTCAGAAGTATTTGGTGCACTTTTTAATGTTCGGGAGTAAACCGTGCAATTTTCAAAGAATTCGAGGGTAAACGGTGCACTTTTCACAAAAACAAACAAAGGCTAAAGAAACTAACTTGAAGGGATTGGGAAAAAAATCAAAACAAAAAAAAAACAAAAACAAAAAGGCTAGAAAGGGAATGACAAACGAAACTAATGAATTTTTTTAGAATTGCCGACTCAAACGCTCCTCTTGGTTTTTCATATTTCAGCAGTTGGAGACAAACAACCAAGATGAAGAGCTATTATCCAAACAATTTTGTTGGGGGTTAATTTGACCAATTTGCTTTTTTGACCAGTCAATCTGCCAAAGTTATCCCAATAGCCATTTCCCAAACATGACCAAAGTAGGCCGATCCAAATCCGTCCCGGTTTATTTCGATCCTGAATTTTATGGGACAAACTGGGATAAGACTGTAATCCGAACCGTTCCGAACCGTTTATATATAACGGGACAAGACGTGGGACAACCTAAAACTCGGACCGTCCCGATCCATGCCCACCCCTATTTCGGATAAAAAGGCCAAGTGGAAAAGCCATTAGCCAAACAATGGTTTTGGCGGTTCGATAAGTCAAATAAGCCAGAGTCAGTCAAAAATGCCAAAAGTTACCCGAAAAGCTGTTTTCCAAACATAACTAGGGCTGTGCATTATTCGGTCCAAACCCGGACCGACCCGAAGACCTGCCAAAACCGGACCAGACCGGTCCCAATTCGGTCCGGTCTCCGGTCCATCAATTTTCTTTATCCAGGTTCCGGTCCGGTCCGGTCCAAACCCGGTGAGACCGGTGGACTGATATATATATATATATATATATATATACACCGCAGCACTCCAAATCTCCGATTCCATTGAATCCTCCGATAAGTCCACCGATTCCGCAGGTACGCCGTCGTCCAGTCGTCGACGAGTGCACTCCGTCCAGTCGTCCAATCGCAGCACTCGTCCACTCCGTCCACTAGCCAATTTCGGTCCTTATTCGGACCGGTCCGGACTGGTCCATTTTTATTCGGTCCGGTCCCGGTCCGGTCTTACACTTTTTCGGTCCGGTCTACGGTCCACTTCTTTGCTCTTATTCGGTCCCAGTCCGGTCCCGGTCCGGTCCGGGTCGGTCCGGGTTTAGACTGATGCACAGCCCTAAACATAACCTACTACGTAGTACTTTTCTTATACTCATTAGGCATGTAAATACACAGTTTCCTTTAATTGTTTCTCGTGTTTCCATCCAACCTAAAACGTCAGTAGATTTAATTGAATTGCATAGATCAACGGCTGAAATCGTTAAGCTGATAGGTGGAAAAAACTTTGGACGATTTTCCCCCTCCTTTTAAGAATAGAAGGATGTCTTTGCATTACTACGTATTTTTTTTGGAATGTACTCCGTACGTACATTTATAGTCCGGAGTACTCCGACTACACAAAATAACACTACATTGAAAGGCAATTTGAAGCGAAGGTATATGTCATACATGGAACCTCAATGTTACACAATTTAAATCTTTAATCGTCAGGCCCATCCAAACAATGGCCCAATTGCCATTTTTGTCGCGGACTACTAATTGAAGTGGCTTATCAAAGTGAAAGTCTGAGCTCCAAATCTATTTCTTGATCCTCCTGAGAATCCGAGTTCTGATCACTCGACCCGGTTAAATAGCTCCGGTCTTTTATAGCCATCCTGTCAATCGACTCCTGTTTGATTATGAAGACGAGTAGTCAAGTTAGGTCTCGTTCCGTTCAACTTATTTTTTTTATTCTTATTAAAATCAGATCAGATCAGATCAGACCAGATCAGATCGAATCAGATCAGATCAGATCTAATCAGATCGAATCAGATCAGATGAGATCAGATCAGATCCAATCAGATCAGATCAGATCAAATCAGGACTTATTAAAATCAGATCCCATCAAGAATTATTATTATTATTATTATTATTATCATTATTATTATTATTATTATTATTATTATTATTATTATTGTTCTTAAAAATGAAAAAGAATAAACTTTAGAAATAGGTTAAATAGAAAACTGAGAAAGTAATCCTTAATTATTAGACGTCGGAAAAATTAGTTTTAAAATACATTGACAATGTCAATCTAATTCTACTTTTAAAATATATTTTTATTGCTACTTGTAATTTGAGTTTCTAAACTTTTGATCTTTTATAAGGATGAGATATTTTAATAAAAATACTATCTCTTCTATATATTGATTATCTAAATCTAATTACTTTTTAATGTATATCTAAATTAACTATTTTTATTTTATTAAAAAATAATCATTAAATAAAAAATATTGATTATATTATAAACATGAACATCCTATTTTGGTTTTTCTCGATGTTCTACTCATATTTTATTTGTCTTTCTTTTTTCTTTTAATAGGGCTTACAAGACATGCTTGAATTAAATCATACTCCATATATAAAAAAACAATAATTTAAGCCACAAGATTTATATATTACGGAGTAGAAAATATAATTTACAGAATATTTCAGTTATAATTTCTACTATATGTGTATTATTTTCATCCTCTCAGCCAAATTGTGAAAATTATCGAACTATACTATTACTCTCTCCGTCCCCCAGTTTTTGTCCACTTTTGACTTTTGGAACTATTCATCTAAGGACTTTGACTCATCAAATTCTCTCAATGTGTAAGCCTAAATATAATCATGTGTGATCTTGTTTGATTTGTCTTAACATATAGATTATTAATATATAATTTCTATAATTTTTTAATATACAAATTACAAGATAAAATGGATTAAAGAAGTGCATTGGATGGTGTGTAAAAATGAAAGTGGACAAATACTCTGGGACGGAGGGAGTATTATTTAAATGATGTAGTTTTCTCCTACTACTACTACTACTACACTACTACTCTAAAAATAATAAGAGTAATAATAATAATAAGAATATTACTATTATTGTTGTTGTTGTTATTGTTACAATTATTGTTGTTGTTGTTATTAATTACTACACCCGTTCCAGAGTATTTGTCCACTTTCATTTTTACACACCATCCAATACACTTCTTTAATCTTGTAATTTGTATATTAAAAAATTATAGAAATTATATATTAATAATTTATATGTTAAGACAAATCAAACAAGATCACACATGACTATATTTAGGCTTACACATTGAGGGAATTTGATGAGTCAAAGCGCTTAGATGAAAAGTTCTAAAAGTCAAAACTGGACGAATATTCCGGGACGGAGGAAATACATCATGTTATTCTTATTGTTATTATTAATATTAATACTATTATTATTATTATTATTATTATTATTATTATTATTATTATTATTATTATTATTATTATTATTATTATTATTATTATTAAGTTCTAATTGGCATTTTCACAGCAATGGTTTTGAATTCGGCATTTTTCTATAGTGAACTTAAGGTCTACCATTGACCTACATATGACTCAAATAAACAATTTCTAATTACCTAGATGAACATTTTAAAAAAATTGAAAATAAAAAATAAGAGTTAGTGTAAACCATCAAAATTATGCTGGTGGCAAGATTATGATGTACAAAATGTACTCAGTATTTGTGTTACTTAGTGTGAACCACTGCATCTCGGCTTTGCACCAGCATCTTGATGATTCACATTTGCACAAAATATTATTACGATCCTAAAATTTGTAATGATATTTTGTGTTGATGTGAACCATCAAAATTATGCTGGTGCAAGATTATGACGTAGCAAAAATAGTTCGTACCTCTAAGGGGTGTTGGTTGAGGAAATGTCTGGTGATGTTCGATGGAGCAAATCGCTGGGGCTCGTAGACTATCCCTTGATGCCACCTGATTTTGTCCAAGTTGATGAATTCATTAGGATCGGATCGGAGCTGCATGATCGAGGAACATATAATAATAATACCACTAAATTATTTTCTGCACATGTGTTTCCCACAATGCCCGGCTGGCCCCAATACTTTTGCTAGTTTAGTAAGTAGCAAAATCTAGCCTATTTGTGTACGTTAAATTGAAGTTTAGAATTATTGTTTTTTTTTAAATTCTACCTCAGCTAAAAAATGATACATGTCTACCCTTTTTATTTTCTCTTTTGCAAAATAAATACGTTTCTTCTTTTTATCATTTCTTTTTAATTAGTTCCTTCTAATTAAATTTCAACCATAATATTGATATTTAATTCTAATTCACCAACACTACATTTGTTTCAAGGAATTTGGAAAAAAATGAATTTCTCTCAATTTCCTTACTAAAACGAGGATAATTTGGTTTTCGGTTCTCTTTTTATATTTTTCTTTCTCATTTTTTTTCACTTTTTCTTTATTTTTCTCTCTAACCAAACAAGAAAACCTAATTTCCACTTTATTTTTTTCCCTTTCAAATTTCTTGAACCAAACATAGTGTGAATGATATAGTGTAAATGTATGTTTCTTATAAATTGTGAAGTAAAATTGTAAATTTTATTTTGAACGAAACTACCCCCATTTAGAAGCCCAAATTAAATTAGGTAGAATACAGGAGGAATAAGTATATCACGACGACAGATGGCCAATCAATTAGAGTGTAGAATTTACCCAGGATTAGAGAGTGGGTGAGAATTTCCATATCTTACATTTCCTCCTTCCAGTTCGCTTGCACTCATCTGAGAAAAAATAAAATTTGCATTGAATAGGACTAAAACATAAGTCATTTCCTAATAGGACTTAAACTTTTTTATTCCCTAAATAAGACTTAATAATGACTAGTGAGAAGAATAATATCCAAGTGATGCTGGACATTTAGTTGAATAATGACTAATAGATAATGACTAATAGTTTTATACTAGGAAATAAAAACATATAGTTCTATATTAAGAAAGTCATTATGTTTTAGTCCTATTTAGGTAAATTATCCAAAAAATAATGAAGTGAAATTTGCATTGAATAGGACTAAAACATAAGTAATTTTCCAATGTAGGACTTAAACTTTTTTATTCCCTAAATAGGACTTAATAATGACTAGTGAAAAGAATAATGTCCAAATAATGCTACACATTTAGTTGAATAATGATTAATAGATAATGACCAATGGTCATACATTGAGAAATAAAAACATATGGTCCTATATTGAGAAAGTCATTATGTTTTAGTCCTATCTAAATAATATAAAAATGCGTCGTAACACATACTCTCTCCGTTCTTAAAAAGAGTTTCTAGTTTGACTATGTGTAAAAATAAAAAAGTGTTAAATTGTAGTTGACTTTCAATTTTACCCTTGATGTGATAGGTAAAAGTAAGATGTGATGAATAAATTATTAGAGAAAAAGTGTGATGTAATAGGTAAGATATGAAAAAGTAAAAATAAAAGTGAATTTTTAATAGAAAGTAGAATAAATAAAAGAGAAAATGTTTTTGAGAACGAGGAGGGAACACCAAATACGTACAAGAAGGCACATGGCTCCCAACAACCCCACCCCCATCCAAATCATGTTGAAAGGAAAAAGCCACATTCGTGTTCCCCATGTACTCCCTCCGCCCAGCCTCCTCAAAAATAGGTTCTTTTTCCGAGTTACTCACTATATTTAGGTCAAAGATACTTTTTGATCATTTCATAAGAAAATTGTCATAAATTTCAGAAAAAAAATTATATCTTCAAAAACTAAATACAAAATAAGAAGTGCTAAGAGTCTATTTCTTTTTATCGATCTAAGATAAGTACTCCCTAATAAAAACAGCAAAACAAAATTGTCAAAATTTGAGCATTTGAGTATGAAACAGAAAATCCTTTATACATAAAAAAACTAATAAAAGGAATGGGAGGAGTTATTGTTTATATTAGTATACCAAGATGGTTTGGTTGCATGGGAAAGTGTATGATGTGGAGGGCGGGTATGAGAATGAGGAGGGAGATGAAGAGTATCCTGTCTGCAATCCAATATCGGCCTCCTGCGCGCAGTAATTTATAATTTTGTAAGCCCGGCCAATTAACAAAGTAAACGCATACGTACTCAAGAGAATAATGATAGAAATATTTACGACTAAAACTTAAGTCATTTTCTTAAATAATAAAAAATGTGAACAAAATAAATGCTTGTATATAATCTTCGTAAGTTTAATAAACACATGCATGCATATATATATATATATATATATATATATATATATATATATATATATATATATATATATATATATATATATATATATATATAGGTAGATAGCTAGCATATAAATCAAGTATAGGTAGAGAGAGAGAGAAGGAATATACGGAGTATATAATAAAGTGATCGATGAACGAACCTGATGAGGATGAGGGAGGTGGTTTGCGTCGAAAGGATGATTGTGATGGTGGAGAGGGTTATTAGCCGCCCCAGCAGCAGGTAGGAAAGCGCAGCCCATTTGAGAGTGTAATCTAATCTTCTCTAATTGCGCAACACCCAGCCCTCTCTGAGGCTGTTTCGGTTTCTCTGAACTGCTGTTATTATTCTTCTTGCCGCTCTTCCTTGACGAGCCTGACCCTGAAGAAGATGATGAAGTCCTATCCTGATGCTGGTGCTGATGGTGATGATGACTTGTTATGTTTGACGACTCCCCTAAGTAACTCATGATCACGTACTCCTTTTCCTTAATTAAAGCTGCTGCTGCTACTGCTGCTGTACCTTTCTTTCTTTGTTTGAAAACGGTGTTTCAAAAAAACTACTTATATATATACACTAGCTTTATGGTATCATTAAAAAAAATAATTCAAAACGCCCACACCAAGAATGGCATGGCATAACCTATTTATATATACTAATTAATTGCTATATTCTTGTGGAATATATATACTTATGAGATCGAGAAAGATCATTTGTGGAAGAAGAAAGAATACAATGATGCCTTTTTAAGCTCTTCACTAAAGAGTGTATTCTAGGAACGGATTCTTTTCTAGTTTACTCTGTTTCTCTATTTCTGCATACCCGTATTTATATACTCCCTAGCTATAATATACTCCGTAGATATTGCTGGATGGGATTACTAATAATGGACATTCTTTTTAGTAGTTTTTTCTACTCCGTATTTTTTAATTTTTCTTGTTGCGCGCGTGCTACTCCAATTACTCCATTTCCATTTCCCTCTATTTCATACTCCCTCCGTTTGCAAAAAGCGGTTGCAAAAAGATTTCCCATTTTGATTTGGGGTCAAAAATAAGGAAATGTTAAATTATAGTTGATTTTCAATTTTGCCCCTGATGTGATGGGTAAAAGTAAGATGTGATGGATAGATTATTAGAGAAAAAGTATGATGTGATAGGTAAGGTATGAAAAAATAAGGGTAAAAGTGGTTTTTTAATAGAAAGAGGAAGTGTTTTGTTAGAAGTGGAAAAAATGAAAGAGGAAGTGTTTTTGAGAACGGAGGGAGTATTAATTGCCTAATAAGATATTTTTATTACATTGGAATTTGAGAAAAAATGAATGAATGTAGACATAAAGCATTTCTACATTCATTCACTTTTGGTAAGTTTTAGAAAATATAATACGGAGTAAGATATTAGTTTTGAAATTTGGGATAAAGAATTTGAGTTTTGAAATCTGAAACAAAATTGTTTGAAAAAATTCAAAACCATTATTTATATAGTAATAGGCAGCATGACTAGCAAGAGAGGTGGTTGGCGGTGACAATCGTAGCCGGTGATGAGAATTGTCAGGGAATAGTCATCGTTTGAGAGAAATATCAAACTAACTATTAGATAGAAATATTAAGTATTTCTATTTATGATAGATGTTGTATTTTAGTTATTTTCTACCCTCTATTTTTGTTTGTGTTAAGATTTCTCTCTATATATACTCTACTATGTACTCCATAATTCAATGAGAAATATTATTATTCTAATATTCTAACCTAACATGGTATCATAACAACCACTCTTGGTAACAAAAAGTTTATTTTCCATCGCTCCTGGCGGGCGCATAATAAGCCACCCACCAGGCCTCAACGCTGCCTTTATTCTTCTAGAGCTGGAAAATCGGTTGGTCGGGTTCGGGTTCAGTCACTTCGAGTTTGGGTTATTTTGGGTTTAGGTCAATTTGGGTTCGGGTTAAGAACTGTATGTTCATGACCCAGTGTCATCGGGTTCGGCTCGACCCAACGGGTTATAACTTTGGTTTTATAAATTTTTAAATTTACATTAGCACTTACATTTTCTATTAAATAAATTTAGAATATCGAAAAATATGTATTAAATCTATTAGATTACATATTCTAAATTCTGATTTTTTAGATATAGATATCAATATAAGGAATTTAAAAAATGCTTAAGTTTTAGAAAAAAATAAAATAATTGTGCAATACCATTAAAATTTTGTCTGAAAATATAAATTTATACATTTAAAACGAGTAGTAAAGTGTATGATATTGAAAAACTATTACTTTAGCGGGTTGGTCGGGTCGGATTCGGGTTCGGTCGGGTTTGACCCATTTATAGCGGATCATTTCGGGTTTGGTCATCAAAACCTTTGTTCAAAACCGAGTATTTTCAGGTTAGATTTTGGGTCAAAAATAGGTCGGGTCATGTTTTTCCAAACTCAATGTTGGCATTTCTTCCTCTCTTTTCCAAACTATTTTTTTTGGACAATTCATATTTTTTCCCCTTTTTGTCAAATGGTCAAAATCAATATTTGCTCTTTGCCAAATCATGCACGACTTTATAGAATTGGGTTTTGTTCCTCTCCTTTAATCTCTATTACATGGCTTTACATAAGTTGTATGATTTCGTTCTCTTCCTAATCAATCCTCTTAAGAGCGATCTTAATCAATCCAACACTTGTAAAATCCAGTCAATCACTATTGGCAGACAGGCAACTCCCCTTTTCACCCGATCTAAATGAACCAAGAGATCTTCTTCTCCATGCCACCACCTAATCTTAATCCACTTTTTCTCTCATATTACTCATTCAGGATCATCAATCACTCTTCTCTTTCTCTTATGTGGAACAAAAAATCCAAAACAAATCAAAGCAAGAGCAAAGCCAAGAGGGGAAAGGTGAAAAAGAAGAAATGTCCCCCAACAACTCACCCCTCCAAGGAAATTTTAAAAGTTTCCCATAATTAAGAAAAAATTTCCCTTTTGTACCTTAGTAAAAAAATTGGCAATTAAGAAATAGGGTTTTGCGTGGATCTAAGAAAAAGACAATGAACTTCAAAGATCTTCAGACAAATCAAATCAGCAACTCCAATAATCTTTTCTTCTTCAACGCCATCAGCTACAAATACACGTTAGACTTCTCTCTTCTTCGTGTTTGGCGTCAGCAACTGCCATCAGATTTCTCTTTTCTTCTTTAACGTTAGTAGCTATTAGCGCACATCAGACTTCTCTCTTCTTCGACGTTAGCAGTTCCTAGATCACGTTAGACTTCTCTCTTTTCAAGGTTTCCAGTTCCCAGCTAGCGTCCAAGCTTCCACTTGATTCAGTAAGACTCAACTTGAGGGGGATGTTAGGTAGAATAGTAAGTATTTTTATTAATAGTACGTAGATGCTGTATTTTAGTTAGTTTCCATTCCCTATTTCAGATTGTGTTAGCATTCTCTTTTATATATATTCTACCATATACTGCATAATTCATTGAGAAATATTATTATTCTTTTATTTTGGAATCCCCATATTGTTATCTCTTGAATTCGGGAGATATAGAAACCCTCCATTTGGAGTATTTATGATATCTAAGGAAATCCAAATCGATATCTCTTTTCGACTCACCAAACGTAAAAAGATGTTAGTTGCATGGGTTGCTTCCCTTATAATTTGTGTAGTTGACTTGTAAAACTTCGGTTGGCATTATTATTTTGACAAAACAAATAGAGTTCATGTGTGTCTTTGTATCTAGTGGTTTTGCCTTAGTATAGAGCTATAACATCTTGTTTGTCATCATTTACTACAAAGAGTCCCTATTTCTGTGGAGTGTGCTTTGCTGATTAAACAAGAGTCTAGATGAAGTCTAAGAGTGTACGAGTGTCCTGCATGAATTCTATTTCTTTCCAACATGCTCAAGACTCATCCTTATCTAGTGCCCCAGATCGCAAGAGTTCTTTTGAATAATGGAAATGTGAATTGTATGGGCAAAGCACGAGCTGGACAAAAACTCATACTGAAGCTCTACTAGGGTTACTCCCCTTTGATTAAATAGCCGACACCTCTTTTTTGTATCGGTGCGTGAGATAGAAAAGAAAACCAAGAGAGGCAAATTACATCTGAGATTTCATTTGATACATACGAGTATACGAAGATCATGTTGTTTCAATTACATATCTGCGTGAGATCAAATAGCTCAATGTTATCCTAATCAGTCCTGAAGCTACTGCATGTTTTTGTGAACGAGAGTTCACTATGAAGTCTAGAATTCGATTCTCGAAGTTTTGGAAGTAGGCTGACAACAAGTCTCTTGAAGAAGATCTTGAAAAAGGTGTGACAAGCCAAGAAGTTAGACATAAGTAGAGTTTTTTTTATCAAATCACGTGTAAGAAGATTAAGTCAATATGTAGAAAGAATCTACTAAGGTTGAATGTGTAAGCTTTATAGTGATTTAATTAAAGAACCATTACACGGATGTGGGCCTCGCAGATATAAAAGACATTCCTTTGAATTGCGTAATTATTTTGAGTGTTGTTTACTTCTATTTTTGTTAACAACACAGGTCTTAGAGAACATTATTATAAGCCATATTTCATAGTCACTTGTGTTGTAACAACTTTGTGTCACACTTTGCAAGTTTCCGTTATTAGCACTATGTAACGCCATAAAAATGAGTCTAAAAGAATTACTCCCTCTGTCCCATAAAGTGTTACCCATTTTGACTAAAGTTGAAATTAAGGGAGGGATAATTTTGTGTTGATTTTCCAAAAATACCCTTGATGTGATGGGTAAAAGTAGGATGTGATGTGTAGATTATTAGAAAAAAGGTATGATGTGATAGGTAGGGTTTGAAAAAGTAAGGGGTAAAAGTGGTTTTTTAATAGAAATGAGTAAGGGATTGTGGGACACATTTTTTTGAAACGTGTAAATCTTTTTGGGACGGAGGGAGTAACTATTTAAGCCGCTGATTTTGACTGTGGGCCCTGGTGGCCTGAAAAATAAAATATTAGGAAAAATATTTTGATTACACCGTTAGACTCTATTTATTTTTCGAGTTCAAAAATGCAATCGTTTTTTTTATCAGGCTTCAATTGGAAACTAACCCAAAGTTTAAAAGGATAAATTATTTTTTCCAGGACAAGAATTTTATCCCATATTTACAAATAATCCCTTCAAATCCATATATTTTCTCCCATCTCAACCCAAAATCATGCTCATTCCATCATCGCGTCACTACATTTAGTTGTCTCTAACCAACGAAACACTCACCCACCTTCCTCTCTCATCACTTTTGGCTCTTAGCTATTGATGGAGTGTGTAAAATAGCCTAATACACTCTTGCATGTTTGTTAAAAAAAGAGACCTAGAGTCCCTCTTTCACCACCCATCATACTTAGCAAAATCCTACAACTTTGGACGGTCATCTTCCCAAACTCTTTCAACCTCCACTAATGGATAAATTTAAGGTAAGAGTCTATACTTCATTCCCTACGAAGAATATACTCAATTTAATGCTCTCGTAACGCTCGTTACACCTACACCTAGATTAAGGGTTGAAAACAACTCAAGAATGGTAGAGAAGCTCCCAGGTTAGCCATTGGGACCTTTGAAGTTTGATAATGAGCTAAACTTTTCTATACAAAACCTACACCTGATTGGACGGTAATTATCACCCTCTTTTATACATTATTTGAAGAAACATTGAACATGAAAGTTGTATCTTTTTGTCTTTTCTAACCACCAGTTCAAACGGTTTGCAATTATGACATTTAACGAAGGAGATACCCCAAAAATA